GGAGGGAGAGGGGGGGCTGGCGGAGCACGAGGCTCGGCAGAGCTCGCTCGGGCATATTTTCTTCATATTTGTCCTCTGTTATTCCAGTTTCCCTCGATTTTAATTATCACACACTTTTTTGTTGTTAACAGGTAGCTGTAAGATTTAAACATTTTCCTATAAATATGACTTCATGTCTGGCCGGCGTGGCTCAGTGGTTGAGCGTTGACCTATGAATCAGGAGGTCATGTTCAATTCCTGGTCAGGGCACATGCCCGGGTTGTGGGCTGGATCCCCAGTAGGGAGCGTGCAGGAGGCAGCAGATCCATGATTCTCTCTCATCATTGATGCTTCTGTCTCCCTCTCTCTCCCCTCCTCTCTGAAATCAATAAAAATATATTAAAATGTATATCCATGACCTCAATTCCTTGGAGGAATGGTCGTCATGAGCCAAACACACAGACCCACAGGATGGACGTCATGCGGAGATGGCGCTGGGGACACACACACGCACCAGCACTAAGGACTTTCCTTCCGGAACCTTCACAGTCACAGCCACCTCCGGCTCCCAGACGGCAAACTCAGCCTGGTCTCCGGCGATGGCCTGGTCCTGGCAGCCCAGCACATGGGGACAGAAGGAGGCACGGAAGACACCTGGGCAGAGAGGGGTCCTGTCACGCCCTGCAAGGCCCTGGGAGACCAGGGGCAGCAGCCGGAGCTCCTGCCGCTCACCTGGCCAGCGCCGCCCTCCGTCCACAGACACCTCCGCGGGGAACGCCGGGTGTGCTGGCTGGGAGAAGTGGATGACGATGATGTAGCGGCCGGGGCGTGGCACGCGTCCTCTCAGGGTCACTTGGCTCTAGGAGGAAAAGGAGAAAAACAAACTCCTCGAGCTGCAGAGCGATGAGCAATCAGAATCGCAGGAAGTTCCAGGTTAAAACCAAAGCGAGCAGGGGTTTGCCAAGGGAAGTGAACGCCTCCACTGGGACGCTGCTGCCGCTTCACCTGCGTCAGCCGAGAGCAGCTGGCCTGCGGAGGTGCCACCTCGATGGGGGGGGGGGATTTGGTGGTCACGTTGGGAAACTGTGTGGCAGCTTTTGCCAAAGTGGAACATATAACTGACTGACAGTTTCAGGTCTTAATGCCCGCCAACAGGATGCACAGCATGCTTGTCAAACGGCTGCACAGAACGTTCTCAGCGTTCAGTCACTATGGTAACAACCAGGTCATGAGGAGCCAGCATGGCTCAGTGGTTGAGCATCGACCTAGGAACCAGGAGGTCCCGGGTTCCGTTCCCAGTCAGGACACATACCTGGGTTGCAGGCTCGATCCCCAGTGTGGGGCGTGCAGGAGGCCGCCGATCAGTGATTCTCTCTCACCATTGATGTTTCTCTCTCTCGCCCTCTCCCTTCTTCTCTCTCTCAAAAAAAAAAAAAGTCACTAAGAACATTAAAAAAACAACAATAGCCAACACAACAATAGTGTCTGGTGTGACTGCCCTGTCTTGAACCATAAACACAGTGTAAGTCAAATAATAGAACTGCATCTTATTGCTCACATTGCATAATAAGGTTGCATTTGATTGGTTAATTCTTGGAACCAGAAATCCTTATTATACAAGTATAGGCACCTGATTTTTTTAAAAAGTCACTTTGGAGCAAAGAGGGTAGATAATTACTACTACTATTATTTTTTTGTAAATCAACCAAAATTACACCCATCTTTGTCAGACTGTATCTTCTGGTGTGCCGCGGGATTTGAGCGGTTAGTTGTGTGCCATGAGATGAGCAGGTGGGAAACGGCTGCTCGAGAAGACTAACCAAGACGTGTTTACCGAGAATATCCTTCCTGCAAATTGTGCTTGTGCAGCTGGTGATACAAGAACGCTGTCAGCCGCCGTCACTGTCCTAGAAGTGCTTGCATTCCAGCGTGGGGGACATAATAAGCCTGACAGTGTCAGACAGCAAAGAACCGCGAAAATATGAGGTACCACAAGATGGGCATGAACTTGCTCACTGCCTCAGGCAGAGAAGCAGGAGGGACAGAGAGATCGGAGGGGTGGCATGGACAGGATCCATCTGACGCCTCGCGCCTGGAACCTCCACAGCTGAGATCAGAGGCCCTCCAACTGCAGGGGCATCTGAACTCCTGGGGAGGGTTGTGAAAACACAGATCCTTCCAGAGACTCGAAGTCCGTAGCTCTGAGATGGGGCTTATGAATCTGCATTTCTTTCTTTTTTAAAAAAAATATTTTAATTGATTCAGAGAGGAAGGGAGAGAGAGAAAGAAACATCTATGATGAGAGAGAATCATGGATCGGCTGCCTCCTGCACAGCCCTCACTGGGAATCCAGCCCACAACCCGGGCATGTGCCCTGACCAGGAATGGAACTGTGACCTCCTGGTTCATAGGTCAACACTCAGCCACTGAGCCACGCCGGCCGAATCTGCATTTCTATCACGTTCCCAGGTAGCACGGATGCCGCTGGGTCAGGGCCACACACTTTGAGAACCACTGGCTTCGAAACAACACACTTGGGAGAGGAGGGGTCCTACCTGCGGTGCCTCCACGGTGATGCCAGTAACCACATCAGTGGAAGGAGAAGGATCCTGGGGCGGGAGAGGGGGAGGCCCCCCGGGTGGAGCATCCAAAATCAGTGCTGCTGGAGGAGTTTCGGGGGACACGGAGAGGCACGTGGCCCTGAAAAAGAGGGTATTTTAAATCTCGTATTGAAGAGAACCCCAAAGGAGAACTGCCCGTTGGTGAAGATACAGACTCAGCATAAGCTGTGGGGACCACAGGGCACTCCAGCCGCCGAATCAAAACAATGAGCCAAAACAGAAAGACAAAGCTTCATGCTGAGGGAGAGTAACCGACAGACACTCACTGACACTTCCCTTCGAGATGGAAACTGTTAAGTGAGATCAACGCAGCGAACATTATTCACCTCTACCCGCCAAGGTGACATAAAACTGTGGAGCCCAGAGAACTACCCCAGTCACCCCCTAGGCACAGCCAGATCTCACCGCCCGGCTCCAGTCCTGCCGTGGCACAGCTTGCATGACTGTCTATAAATTATGTTTGAATCTACATCAAAACAACTCTGCCAAAACCCCATAAGCTGTGGTTAGCAAACCTCATAACACTGTGGTGAGGCGGGTCACTGCTTTCATGGCTTTTTAAGTGAAGATCCTCAGACACAGGATTGAAGGATTAGGACAGAGTGAGTCCGCAGGGTTCAGAACAGAACTCAGGTACCGGCCATGGGGCTGGGCTCATTGCCCCGGCCACTGGCTCGGCCTCCTGCTCTTACAGGGCTCTGCACAGACTCCTGCGGTCAGTGAGCTAGCTGGTTGTCCGTCTGTCACACTCACCACCTTGACCTGCGGGCACTTCTGCAGCAGGAAGTCGCAACCTTACAGGCACGACAGTATCACGCTGAGCACACACAGGGACACAGGGAGCACACACAGGGACAGAGGGAGCACACACAGGGACACAGGGAGCACACACAGGGACACAGGGGCACACACAGGGACAGAGGGAGCACACACAGGGAGAGAGGAAGCACACACAGGGACACAGGGAGCACACACAGGGAGAGAGGAAGCACACACAGGGACACAGGGAGCACACACAGGGACACAGGGAGCACACACAGGGAGAGAGGAAGCACACACAGGGACACAGGGAGCACACACAGGGACACAGGGGCACACACAGGGACAGAGGGAGCACACACAGGAACAGAGGGAGCACACACAGGGACAGAGGGAGCATACACAGGGAGAGAGGAAGCACACACAGGGACAGAGGGAGCACACACAGGGAGAGAGGAAGCACACACAGGGAGAGAGGGAGCACACACAGGGAGAGAGGAAGCACACACAGGGACAGAGGGAGCACACACAGGGACACAGGGAGCACACACAGGGAGAAAGCGCGTTACCTTTGGTTCGCAAATGGCCCATAACTGGCGATGCATCTCACTTGAGGTTTCAAATATTCCGTTGAGAATTCTTCGATGGGAATGATACAAATCTGATGCTGTCGGGCAAACACAGTGCAAAGAGGTAACGTTGCAGTTACCAGCAAAACCATGGCAAGGTCAAGTGCAGGCTTTAAAAAGGCTATTAGGGCCCAGGCGCCATGGCTCTGTGACCCAGGCAGCCACCGTTCGGTTCCTGGTCAGGGCACATGCCCGGGTTGTGGGCTTGATCCCCAGTAGGGGGCGCACAGGAGGCAGCCAATCAATGATTCTCTCTCCCTCTCCCTTCCTCTCTGAAATCAATAGAAATATATTTTAAAGAATAAAAATAATAAAAAAGCCTTTGGGTAAAGAATTCATCCAGAGAAATTATCGTTGTTACTTTAAAGTAGTAAAAGGTGCACAATGGGACTCCTACAGCATCATGTGCAACTAATCCTTTCTGGGCTTGCTCAAGGTCAGGAACGAACGTGCCCTGGAACAATCATATAAAGGGACAAGGTCGTGTCGAGAGGCGGGGGGCGTGGTGGGCATCCAGGAGCCTGCTACGCCAGCGCCCAGCGAGGGCCGCTCCTGCTGCAAACAACCCTTCTTCACAGAGGATGACTCAGACCTCGGCACAGGGGGCTTTCGCTGAAGGAACTGTCTCCAGAGCTAGTTTTGAGTCACAAAAAACTCAGTTTTTAACTTACCAACATACTCCAGCTTAGATCAACACTGTATTGCCAGCTTGATCATAAAGCTGTTCAGTAGCAACGATTTTTATTGAACATCTGCTACATGTGAGGCACTGAGACTGGGGGATCCTGCAAGACAGACAACACCCCTGCCCTCAGGAGCTTATATTCTCAGGCAGGACACTGGACTATTTCAAAAGGGCAAACGTATGTGTCAAAAGGAAGATACAGCCCCGGCCAGCGGCTCAGTCAGTTGGAGCATCGTCCCATCACCAAAAAGGTCACAGGTTTGATTCCGGGTCAGAGCACATACATAGGTTGAGGGTTGGATCCTCGTAGGGGTACGTACAGGAGGCAATCGATTGATGTTTCTCTCTCACATTGATGTTTCTCTCTCTCTCTCCCTAAAAACGTTAATAAACATATCCTCTGGCAAGGATTAAAAAAAGATTCAGCCCCATCCCAACTTCCAAAGATGAAGAGGTTAAGAGTCAATTGGATTGTTACGCTTAAAAAGAGATTTGTAATTTTAAAAAGAAGGTCTTAAGTGATTATATACTTTAGAGTAATTTTTAAAAACTGAATCCCAGGTGCTTCTTTAGAGAAAGCGCCAAGGCTTTACTACGGCCGAGCAGGCATCTTGAAAACGCAGGAGGGGGGCGCGGCCGCGGGCTCCCGGGTGTGCGCGCTGGATGTCAGCAGCCCCAGGAAGTGCTTCACACTTCGGACTCTACGTCCCCTGAGACCTTCATGTAAATCTGGCCGCTCCCTCCCAGCGCGGGCCTCACTGCCTCTGTTTGTCAGGTGTGCTACTGACAGGTGGACATGCGTACATTTAACCTGCAACGCTGCCATTGTCAGTCTTAATATTACACTCAAGTTAACGGAGTCATGCTCTTTGTGAAATAGAGTAGCAATCACCTGGGGCCGTGGTCGGCAAACTGCGGCTCTCGAGCCACATGCGGCTCTTTGGCCCCTTGAGTGTGGCTCTTCCTAAGCCTTAGGAGCACCCTAATTAAGTTAATAATGTACCTATCTATATAGTTTAAGTTTAAAAAATTTGGCTCTCAAAAGAAATTTCAATCGCTGTACTGTTGATATTTGGCTCTGCTGACTAATGAGTTTGCCGACCACTGGTCTGGGGGAAATACCAGATGATTCCAACCTTTGAAACTCTGAAGGAATTTGCCAAGATGCCAATAGACGTAATAAAACAGTAAAATGAGAAAGAATAGACACAGTCACTAACGCGTTCCTCCACACCAGCGATACTAATAAGCGAGGAAATGGTACAAGCGTCATCTCATTCACAACAGTAACAATGAGTACACATTAATGAAATGGGGTTTTGTGAGATGTGCTCATATGTGATGATCAAACTTGACCGAGTGTTCTAAAAATGGCTCAAACAAAGGAAAGGCCAGACAGATTTCTAGATGGAAGAATAAACATCATACAACTGGCCATTCTTCACAGGGCTAATGTTATAGATGTCAAAAAAAAACCAGCCACATTTTTAATAAGCTTATTTTTAAGAGCATAGATATCAACCAAATGCTTCTAAAACCCAATGGGGCCCTAGCTGGTGTGGCTCAGTGGGTAAAGCGTCAGCCCACAGACTAAAGGGTCCTGGGTTCGATTCTGGTCAAGGGCGCGTACCTCGGTTGCAGGCTAGATTCCTGGCCCTGGTCTGGGTGCATGCAGGAGGCAACCAACTGATGTGTCTCTCTCACACTCGCTCTGAAAATCAATGGAAAAGGAGGATTCTCTCACACACACACACACACACACACACACACACACACACACACACACAATGAAATAAGCCCCACGGGCATACATACCAGGAGGAGCCGGGCGCTGCGGACTCTGAGCCAGACGTCCGTGTCAGCAAGCAGCTCGTAGGTGGCCAGGCGGCCCCGGCTGTCGGTCAGGGCGCTCCGGCACAGGACGCTGCAGGAGGAGACAGTTGGCTCAGCCGACCCCCTGGCCCCTCCCTGGGCGCCTCCCTGCGGGTGGCTGGTGGCTCTTCGGGCTCTGCTGTCAATGGCCTGGTGGCCAGCCGAGAACTTCCCTGCACTGAGCTGAGCGTGAAGGATGCAGCCCAGCTGGGAAGGGCCTCCCCACGGCTAAGCTGCCCCTCAGGCTGAACGCCCTGCTCACCTTCTCCAGGGGACAGACGACAGCCCAGGGCCAGTACTATCTGCTTTTAAGGCACAGCCTCTGCAAGAGTCGCCCATGTCCTCGTACTGGTGGCCATGGTGCTGCCCACTGGCCCCGCCACCACCTCCCACGGCCTGAGGGAGCGTGGAGGTGTGCCCAATGCCCTGAGGCACCCAGAGCCTCTGGAAGCCCAGGCGGCTCCTCCTCCTGCCCCATTTCTACCAGCGCCTTCCCTCCGTCCCATCAGGCCAAGTCCAGGAACACTGAAAAGGTCCGGTTTTGCCCTGGCCAGTTTGGCCCAGTGGTTACAGTTAGCCTGTGGGCCCAAGGTCCAGGTTCCATTCCAGTCACAGGCACGTACCTCGGGTGCGATGTGATCCCCTACTCCAGTCAGGGTGCACGCAGGAGGCAACCAACCCAGGGGTCTCTCTCACATTGATGTCTCTCTCTCTCTCTCTCTCTCCCCCTCTCTCTCTTTCTCCCTCTCCCTCTCCCTCTCTCTCCCTTCTCCTCCTTCTCTTTACTTTTTCTCTCAAAAGCCAATGGAAAAAAATCCTCGGTGAGAATTAGAAATTTAACAAACAAACAAATAAATAAATAAATAAATAAATAAAGGGTCACAGTTTTGAACCAAGAATACATTGAAATGGTGGAACCCATAACGGAAGTGTTTTTTGAGGAATGCTTCTGACTTCAGACTCTAGCAAATTTCCTTCTTCTTTTTTAAATATATTTTTATTGCTTTCAGAGAGGAAAAGAGAGAGAAACATCAGTGAGAGGCTGCCTCCTGCCTGCCCCACACTGGGGATCGAGCCCACAACCCATGCTTGTGGCCTGACTGGGAGTTGAACCATGATCTCTTGGTTCATAGGTTGACGCTCCACCACTGAGCCACGGGCCGGGCTCTGCAGCAACTTTTCTATCTGCGAATATAATTTGGAACGAGTGACACCCTGAAACAATGACCATCTCTGGGAAACACAGGGTGGGGCAAAAGTAGGCTTAGTTACTCATGCAGAAAATGATACAATAAACAGTAACACAAGCATAAAGTCTGTGTTTTGCGTACTCACAATGGTAAACCTACGTTTGCCCAACCCTGTATTTGAAATAATTTATGCAATGACTTTTGGGGTGAGGGCTAAAATGAGATGGTGTATAAAGGATCAACACAGTTTGTGGCATATTTAGCAACTCAATGAACAGTCATTCTCTCTTCCTTTCTGTTCACGTGCATGGAGGTGTGCGTGGGGGTCGTATGCGTGGGGGTCGCCTGCGTGGAGGTGTGTGTGTGGGTCGCGTGCGTGGAGGTGTGTGTGCGTGTGGGTCGCGTGCGTGTGGGTCGCGTGCGTGGAGGTGTGCGTGTGGGTGGTGTGCGTGCGTGTCCACTAAATGCCTTCTTCTTGGATTCCAGCAGAATTCTGGAAGTAAATATATTCAGTCATCTGCTTAGGCTTAGATTTAGCCTTATCTTTCCAAGACTAGACTAACAGAAATACCTGGATTGGTTGAATTGTGAGTGACCGCCTCTTTTAGCAGATTCATCACAGCTCTATTTTGAAAAATGGCGCCCCCACCAGAACCCCTGCTCTCCTGCTGGGATCTTGTTAACGACATGGAAGTCGCTGGAGTGAGGCTGGCAAGGGTCCCGACCTCAGCAGGAGATGCTGCAATGCTGAAGGGCTGACATTTGAAATAGTATTTATGGGTTAAATGTTGTCCAATCGCACCTCTTTGGACGGTGGTATATGTAGCCAGTTCATTGGCCACGTAGCAGGCAAGCAGAGAAGGGAACTATTTTAGCCAGAGAATCAATACCATGAGCCTCCGGGAGTGGCCGAACACAGCAACAGGGACTCCCAGTCCATGCAACACTGTTGGGCCCTGACCGGGGGCCTGCGGGTGGGCACGCGGGTACTGGCCTGTCCATGGCCAGAAGCACCTGTAGAGGGTCTCACGGCTCTTCCCCCAACGTGTCGTCCAGACAGAGGCCATGAGTCGGTGCTAGGGAACCCCGGGAGGCGCCCTTTCTTCCTGGGCTTTGAACTCACTCCTCTGCTGGGTCTGGGTAGTCGCAGCCTCGTCCGGAGTGACTCAGAGCTGCCAGGCCTTCGGGAAGCTGCCTGTGGCTCTTGGCCATCCCTACTCTGTGTCCTGTGGGGGAGGGACCGGCCCTGTGCCTGGAGGGAGCGCTGAGCTGGAGGGCGGGCGGGACAGACAGGGCATGAAGGAGCCTGGCCCCAGGCCCTATGGCCCAGTCACTGGGATTCCTGGGGTGACCCACCCACCGGGAGTGTACATTCCAGTGGTTGCTGACATCACCTGGAGAGGAAACTGTTTTCCGATCACGGAAGAACATTCCGGGGGACTTTCTTTGCCCATCTGGTGCCCCTATTACAAATCCAAATGTGATTATTTATATTCTTTGTTTTTTAAGTCATCAGCCCAGAGAAAGGGGTGGACTGGATTTTTTTTAAAGATTTTTAAAAGGAGGAAGCCTTCATTGCTTATTTGCGAGGCTGGCTGAGAATGTGATGTGAACTCAATGACCTCTCATCAAGTCTCATAAAAGTTTCCACCCGAAGCTGCTCAAAGCAATTCTTTCCACAAGTTCTTTCACTTGCGAAACAGGGAGCGCGTCCAGCTCCCAGGGCATCCCGGGTTGGACAAAGGCAACAGGGAAGCAGAGGCAGCAGAAGGTTCCAGGCTCGGCCCTGAGCTGGGTGGTCCGTGCCGCTCCCACCTGCTGCCTCCGACTCCCAGGGCCTCGGTGAGCGTCCTGGGGAACCCCTGGCACTGGCTCTTCATGTGCAGCCAGCTCTGCTCAGCTGCCTCTGTTTGTTCTGAAATGTTACGCCAAGGAAACAACCTTTTTTTTTTAATCCTCACCCGAGGATGTGTTTCCATTGATTTTTAGGGAGAATGGGAGAGAGAGGGAGAGACAGAGAGAAGCATCGATGTGGGAGAACCACATGGATTGGTTGCCTCCTGTGTGAGCCCCAACCAGGGCCCGGGCCGGGGAGGAGCCTGCAACCAGGGCATGTGCCCTTGAGCGGAATCAAACCCGGAACCCTTGTTCTGCAGGCCGATGCTCTATCCACTGAGCCAAACCAGCTGGAAGGAAACAGCTGTTAGTAAATCCTGGTCAGAGCTCTTGGAAAGTGGAACATCAGGGCGAAACATTAAAATCCTTTGTCCCGTCATTTTCCTCCCGACGATCATCGAACATGCATGACCTCCACCTCTGAAGGGCACTGGGAGGGCAGGCGAGATGGACGCCTTTCCCAGCGCCACACCCTGCTCTCTATGAGCACTTCCCTGGGCACACAGGGGGCGCCAGCGAGGACAATATAGAGGTTATGTCGCTTCCTGGGAACCTGCGCCAACATCAACATGGAAAGTACAACAGCTTTTCAAGAAACTGCGGCGTTTTCCAGGCACTGCCGACGAGCAGCCTGCCGGCCCCACGCTGCGAGGTGACGTCCGATCACGCAGCCAAGAGCAGCCTCACAAAGGAACCACTTTCCATCCCGATGAAAACCAAAGTCCCTCAGCTGACCTCCCGCCGGCCCCGCTAGAGGAACCCCCGGGCAGGCCTGATACCTGTGCTGGCAGCTGTAGATGGTCACCTGGCCAGCCAGGCCCGGCCCCGGGCTCCCCACATGCACGTCGGCCACAGACATCTGCTCTGCCTCCGTGGAATACTCGACCACGACCACGTAGCGGCCGGCCCACGGGACCCACAGCGGCAGGTGCAGTTCCACCTGTCAGAGGGCCAAGCGGACGGGGAGATGAGCCGGGTGTGCTTACAAGGCAGCCGAGAAACAGGGCTGCGCAGACCATGGAAATTGGTTTCCATGGCATCACTGCCAGGCACGGGGGCCTGCAGGGCGGGCTGCTCAGTTAGAGAGGAAACCCAATGAACAGCATGGCACCATCGATTCCCTTCCGTTCAGGTTTATGGGCACCTGGTACTTTTATTTCCTAAATCTGCAAGCCTGCATGCAGGGGCTTCTACGCTTTCTACTCATCTCTTCGCCTGTGTCTCAAGGTAAGAGACACTCCACAGCTTGAAGTGGGAAGAAATTTCCCAGTGGGAGGTAAGAGGAATGGAAGTGGGCCTGGAGGCTTTTAACTGATGTTAGTTAGAAAAGAAAAGTTAAATTATATGGATGCAAACCATCTAAAGCGATGCACACACCCTACACCCCACTGGGTGCGCGGCAGCCCCAGCCGCAGCAGAGAACTTGGCGCACGCACTGCCACTGAGCCTGCGAGGCGTCCTTCCAGGTCCCCGAACCTGGGGAGCACTGGGGCAGGGGGTTTTCAGCAGACACAGGGCGGTGGGGCGGGGGGGGGGAGGGGTAGCGGGGGGTAGTAATAGCTTTGACAGCAAACGAAAGGCTGCCCACCTCTCGGCCGCCGAGGTCTGCCATGACGGGGTGAGCGGGGCTGGGCTGCCTCAGGGCCACGGGTCTTGGCTGTCCATCCAGCAGGAAGTGTGTGGCCTCACAACCCAGGGAGCAGGGGAAGTGGGCCAGTGGCAACTGCTGGTAAAGCAGGCAGCTGCGACGACAAGATGCGCAGTTACAACGGAGACCCAGCACAGAGCATCCCGCGCACCCAGACACCCATCCATCCAGGCACCCATCCTTCCTCCAGCACCACAGCGCCCACTATAGGCACCAGGAGGGCACCGGGAGGGCATTCCCATGCGGGAGCCATGGAGGAATGACCCACTTTCTATTTTAAGCTCCTCCCCTCACAGGTGCATGACTTTGGGCGTTACTGGGGCATGCACAAGCTACAGGGTGCGAGCCGCCCTTAAGCACCAGCTACGGGGTACAAAGTGCTCTGTGATTCTTAACGTGGAAGAGGGTCGCCTGCTCCAGAGAGAAAAACCACCCGTAAAGTAATGGTCAGAGCTTCCGGCTGCAGATGGGACCTGCGGCCACCGCACACCCTGCAGCAAGCCCCCCGACTCAGGACCCGAGACACTAACTTCTCGTGGGGAGGGCCCGCGAGTGCACAGGGCTCCGTGACGGGCAGCTGCAGCGAGGGGGCCGCGTAGTAGTCCCTGGGGAGCAGCACCAGGTAGTCCTAGGAAATGAAGACCAACAGCAATCACGCCCGTTGCTGGTGGCCCTGCTTTAGAAATAAAAGAGCCGACACACAGCTGACTTAACCACTCGGTGAAGCTACTAGCTGACCTCTCCCACGGGCTGCTGCGTCTGCCAGACTCGCCAGCACCCCCAAAGTCGCTCCCGTGGGGCCATGAGCGCTGGTGGAAAGAGCCGCAGGGCAAACCTCATCAGCTTCCGATCCAGGGGACATTTTACCGTCTCTTGTTGTTTTTAATTTTTTAAATAAACTTTTTATTGTTGACAGCATTACAGATATCTCCCCTTTTGAAAGGCTGGGACACATGTTCATTAAGGTTTTGCATTTATTTAGAAAACTTCAAATCCTGACGCGTTATAATTCGGTAAATGCTTTGTCTGTGAGAAGTCGGCTGTAAGATGATAGGAGGTACCTTACGTTGGCTCCTATGTCATTGCATCATGTGAGGGCAAAGGTCACCATTGGTGTCTAAAAGGGAACCAGCCAGCCCGGCCAGCGTGGCTCAGTGGTTGAGTGTTGACCTATGAACCAGGAGGCCATGGTTCTGTTCCCGGTCAGGGCACATGCCCGGGTTGCAGGCTCGATCCCCACTGGGGGGCATGCAGGAGGCAGCCGATCCATGATTCTCTCCTCTCTGAAACCAATAAAAACATATAAAAAAGAAAAGAACGACTGCTCACCAGGAGGACCCCCTCTGCCTTGATGCAGGCCACCCACATCCCCGGTGCCAGTGAGAACGCGTCGGCCAGACCGCTTCCGGGGACGGAGATGAAGGCTGGCTCCGTGTTGGGCAGGAAGACGACCCCTCTGCTCTGAGCAGCATCTGCCAGAGAGAAACACGGTCGCTCGGGCATCGCTCTGGCAGCCCATCAGTTTTCCACCTTCGGTTTCCATCCGCAAACGTGTAGGGTAGACGACGGATCCTACGTGCAGACCTTGCTTCTTTAATTGCATGAATGAATGTGTAAGAACAGCCTAGAAAGACCTTGAACAGACGTCAGCAGTGGCGATCTATGCTGGGATTGTGAGTCCCTTTTTAATTTGTGAAAGAAGGAGTATATTAACACAGGTAAGTTGCTTAGAAAGGTTCTTGGCCCGTTTTTAATTGTCAAAAGAAACGTAATTACAATCCACAAGGAAAAAGAAAACAGGTCAACACAACAAACACTCAGTGTCACCAGCATCACGTAAAGGAAAATGAAAATAGGGCCATCGTAGTGACTGACCGACTCCCTGCGCTTGTATCTCCTAGCAATGGAGTCTGTGCACACCCTTTGGGGTTGTGCTGGTAAACTGATAGGCAAGTCATGTTTTAGGGCTTATCCTGGCTGCCCCACACTGGGGAGCGAGCCCGCAACCCGGGCATGTGCCCTGACGGGGCGTTGAACTGTGACCTCCTGGTCCATAGGTCCACACTCAACCACGGAGCCACGCCGGCCGGGCTTAGCCTTCTCTCTGCATCAGGGCCCACTGGCACCATTATGTGTCCCTGTCTGGCCCTCCTGCCGCCTGGAGTCTGTGTGCAGGTCTGACAGGAGCCCTGACCTTTGCAGAACAGATCCCAGGGAGGTCCGCACTCCCAGTGCTGTCTCCCAGCCTGCTGGAAGCCGGTCCGTCCTTGCTGCTTGACATAGTCGCTGCAGGTGAGAAACATCTGCACAGCATATGTTTCAAGGGACCTGGCATATATGGCATACTGTTCTTAATATGTTTGTTCCCCTTCTTAGTGCTATGTGTTTTAACCAAGGTCACCTCTCTGAGAAAGGTTGTTTCCCCAGGTGGGGATTTTTCCCTGGAGTTAGGGATTAACAGGACTAAGGAAGGGAATAAAACCCCTTAACTAAGTGCCAGGCAGGTAATTTATCACTTTAACTACGAACAACCACACTTAAACTACATAATCTTTACTTAGGATAATCTCCTCCAGTTATTTCCTTGTAGTTTAACAGAACAATAGAGTAGTGACCTTGGAATGGAGATAACAAACGCCCTAACCTTTGGAATAGAATGGATAGGATTAAAATCAACTGGTATAAATACAGATGTAACAGGAGAATAAAGACCGAACCTGGCTGGAGAACCTGGCTATGCTGATCAACTGAACGCTGCCTCTGTGTCATTCCTTCTTCACCGACTCCGTCCACACCTTTGAGAACCCCTGGACCTGCTGGGGCTGGACCCCAACACCGGCCCCCCTGACTGAGGTCCCCACTCCTCCCGGAGCCCCAGCTTCCTGCTCACACACTGTCTTAGCTTCCTGTGCTCACCCCACGCTCCGGGAACCGGTTGGTTTGGCTGATGCAAGGGGACTGTTTCTGGGGGGGGGGGGGGGGTAGCCAATCAGCACCGCAAGGCGACACACACTTTCCCGTGAGCAAGTTATAAACTAGCTTTGCCTGTGGTGACATCAGAGCCCGGCGTTCAGCCAGACACACAGGTTGCTACATGGGTTTGTAAATGGCAGCTAATGATCAATGTAACAGCAAAGTGCAATAAGCAGGATGCTTAGGAATGAACAGGGGCAGGGGCAGGAGCAGGGGCAGGGGCAGGAGCAGGGGCAGGGGCAGGAGCAGGGGCAGGAGCAGGGGCAAGGGCAAGGGCAGGGGCAAGGGCAGGGGCAAGGGCAGGCGCAGGCGCAGGGGCAGGGTGCCGCGTGCATTGTCAGGCTCAGGCTAGCGCCAGGCGGGCATGTCTACAGAGGAGAAAACGTTTCCCTGGTCCATCGTTTCTTAACCAAAAAGGGTCCTGAAAATGTACCCACCTGCCTCCGCCCCGGACGGATGAAGAGTCACAAGGCCGGCTACCGCCTCCGCTCCAGGGTTCACACATCGCAGAACAACACGGAACTGAGAGCCGCTCGACCGCCCCACGTTCAGCAGGACCCTCACCTCGTTCTGAAAGACACCGAGGCCACACAGTGTAGACGGGACGCTGGCCAAACAGCGGCTTCATCCACGCTTCACACCGGCTCCTGGTGTACACACACGAACATGCCATGTACACACAGACACATGAGTATGCCATGTACATAGAGACACACAAACATGCCATGTACACAGAGACACATGAACATGCCGTGTACACACAGACACATGAACATGTCATGCGCACACACATGAACATGCCATGTACCCCAAGACACATGAGCATGCCATGTACACACACGAACATGCCATGTACACAGACACATTAACATGCCGTGCACACACAAACATGCCATATACACATACACATTAACATGCTGTGTACACACACTCACACATGTGTGCACACATCCACACGTAGTTCACACACATTCACACACAGTGCGCATACATGCATGTGCACCTACACATGTCACACCCACTCAGCAAGCGCCTGCACCCCTGAGGAAGGTGGGAATGCGCAGCCTGGTGAGGAACTGAAGTCACTCACGAGGAAGAGCCGTGAGAGGCACGCCCTCGGGTCCTCTGACCTCGGTAAGCGACAGGCAGAGAGCGTGGGGGGACTGGTTAGGAAGCCACAGAGGCGCGCAGCCACGCAGCTGGGAGAAGTGAAGGACAGGGTGCGATGAAACCCCCCGGAGAGACCCCTCCAGGGCCCACTCACATATACAACATCGCAAATGGTCGCAGAAACCGAGGGCGGCTCAGGAAAGCTACAGACCCCACACACGGGAGGTGAAGGCTGGACGTAACTAAACTGTGCTTAGTGAGTCACAGGAAACACTCTCAGGCCCCATCCAAGGAGAACGCGGGCCTTCAGGTGATGTGGGCGGGGCGTCCCAACACCCACAAGCCCTGGTGCTCACACAGAGGAAGTGCCCCTGAGCCCGCGAGGGGAAGGAAAGACCAGGCTATTTTACGTCTGATCCACAGACTGCATGATCCAATTCAGCTGTGGCCCAAGGAAGGCGCGTGATACTCGGCAGCTGTGAAAAAGCTGTGGGACATGTACACATGGAACACCACGCAGCTGTGAAAAGGCAGGATCTCGTACCCGTGAGATGGCATGGAGGGGCCTGGAGAGCATGATGCTGAGTGAGATAAGCCAGTCAGAGAAAGGCAAGTACCACATGATCACACTCATATGTGAATGAACAAAATAGACACAGAGAACAGAGTGTGGAACCTCAGAGGGAAGGGGGGTGGGGTGGAAAGGGATTAGCCAATGAATTTACATGAATGTGCATAGCCCAGTGACAGACAATCTCGCGGAGAAGGCCTGGGGAGGGGACGAGAGTGGGGTCGAGGGGGTCAACGGAGGAAAAATGGGGACATCTGTAATACTTTCGACAAGATAAATAACAATGATACTAATAATAAAGCCTGGCTCAGTGGTTGAGCATGAACCTATGAACCAGGAGGTCACAGTTCGATTCCCGGTCAGGGCACATGCCCGGGTTGCGGGCTTGATCCCCAGTGTGGAGCGTGCAGGAGGTAGCCGATCAATGATTCTCATCATTGGTGTTTCTCTCTCTCTCTCCCTCTCCCTTCCTCTCTGAAATCAATAAAAATATATTTTAAAAAAGAAAGAAAGGAACTTGGACATTTCCAAATCAGTGGTTCCTTTGATTTTTTAATCATCTTTGAAGGGGCAGTGGTGGAGCGAGAAATCTGTGACATAAACGTCCGGGTGGAATCCCTGTTCTGGGAGCCGGAGCTGCGTGACCCACGGAGGCACTCCAGCTCACCCTCTCAATCTGACTGCTTCACCTTTAATAAGGTTGCAGGTTGGAAAATAATGATGCGAACAGGGATTCGGAGCAGAGGAACGTCAGTGGGGATTTGAGCACCACCCCCTTCCTCGGATGAAGACACTCCCGAGAGTTCACCACTAGAAAGCCATTCCTTGGTGTGAACACGTCACACCTGCGGCTCAGTCACTCACATCCTGTTATGACTCAGGGGAATGCCCGCTTTCTCCTGAGTCACAAAGTGATCGGAAGTAAAGAAACGGGAGGAGCCAACAGTGAGGCGTCCTAGGTCCTGGGACCGTCTGGGAAAGGCCGCTGGACGGGGCCCTGGCCAGACAGAGCCGTGTCAGTCCCCGTGGCTGACGGTCAGGCTTGTCTAAGGGCTGAATGAGGGACCGGCTGGTGCTGGGTCCGCCAGGGACACGGGCTGGTCGCCACGGCCATCAGTTTGCCTCTTTCATTCTGAGTTTCTCCCCGAGACACACAGCGTGAGGAGACCCACCTCGAAGAGAAATGCTGAGAACAAACACACTCAGCAACCACACGCAACGTTTTCATTATAAATGTTACGTCTACGGGTGAAGTGTGAACTCCTTCGTTCCAACACAGAGCCGGGGGGGGGGGGGGGGGAAGGGCCACAGCGGAGGAGACAGGAGGGAAGGAGGAACGTGGGGAAGGAAAATGAAGTAGCGTGGACGGAAACGCCTCACGTACCTTAGCTTCTATTTGTATAGTAATTCGGAGTTTTAAAAAGTGAAAATTAAATAAGAAATTAGCAACATAAGCTTTATTGGAATCATTTAAGTCAACTTGTGTTTATCTTCCACAACTGGCTTAAGAAAAAATGTCTCCTGTTAAATACAGCCTAATCTTGTTTGGGAAATTCCCTATAAAACGTCTCCAGAGAGAAGCACCTTTTCTTTAATCCCCTCCTTTTCTGATTTGGTGACCAAAGTAAACTAACAAGAAACTGTGGAACTGATACATGTGTTTACCAGCTAAAACCCAGCCCCACCCCGAGCCCAGGACACTCGTTCTTATTTTCCAGGAGGAAAACGATCCTGGAGTCGGCTTTGGGGAGAGCTCACCTCTGGGTGAGGTCGGGCCACGCACCTGGAGGGGGGTCATCTGGGCGTATCCTCTCCAGCTGAACCCGGGGAACTCCAGGGGGTCAAACCCGAAGCGCAGGTCCCTCCCGCTGGGGGTGGTGCCGTCTTCGAGCTCGTACTTCATGTGATGCAAGTCTGCGAAGTAGTGGTTGTCCTCAGGTCTGTCACAGACAAAAGCAGACACGGAGGAGCAGGCTGGGCTCACGGACCATCTGACTACCCGTTGGTCCCAACAGCTGCCGCCCAGCACCCCCACCACCCGACAGGGCGCGTTGCACAGGACAGACGGGGCGCCGAGCTTTCTCTCCCAGTGCCTGCTTTCACTCATGTGAACACCCACACGACACACCCACGCCCACGCCCTCCCAGCAGTCAGGTGAGGGCACTCTGAGCACAGCACATGGTGGTAGCATCTTCAAAACGTCCTCAAAGGGCACCCACTGCTCAGCAAAGTCAAATCAGGTTACTTACTCTAAATCCATTCATTCATTCATTCATTCATTCATTCACTCACAAACTCGTAGTCACTCTTCACACAAATATTAACATCGCTGTGTCGGGAACCGTTACTAAGACCTCAGATACAGTAGTGAACGTGCTGGGTTTACAATCACATACATACACTCACGTACGATCACTAGAATGACCTTTCTATGCCTCGTTTTCTCTTAAGCTTCACGCCTATTAATGATTCCTTTCCAGAGTCCAATAATGGCGCCACAGAAAGGGATCAAAACTATCCCGACACGAAGTTCCACGACTCCAGTTCTTCAAACGCACACGGTGACACCCCGACACAAGCTGGCAGCACGAGCGGGTGTGAAGGCCCTTCTCGGGAGCAGCTCCGAGACTCACCGCTGGCACGCCTTCCCCACGATGTGTTCCCGGCACACACACACCCCGGCGGGCCCGCTGCACACGGGGGTGACGGCCCCACCCACGTCACACCGACACCCTGAAAGTCAGGACACAGCGGGTCACCCCTCAGAGCATCTCCTCGGGGACGCCTCCCTGCTTCTAGGAGGGAAGCCGTACGCCAGGGCCCTCCGCTCTGCCCGGCCTCTCTAGTGTGTGGCAGGTGTTTGAAATATGTAGGAACCCCCAAACTGAGATGGTACGACCCCCACTGCCCACTAGGGGGCGGTAGCCTGGAGCTGAAAGCGATTCAGCAGCTCAGTGCTACCATAAGCAGCTCTGCTAACGGAGAGGCTGTGGCAGAGGCAAGAGGAGGGTTAGGGACAACCCCTCCCACAGCTTTATTGTTTGAAGCAATGAAACCCTCAGAGTCGCCTGGAGGGACCGGAGAGCATCCTTGCTGAGTGAATAAGCCAGTCAGAGAAAGACAAGTGTCACATGACCTCACGCGTGTGGACGCTAACAGAGTGACCCGGTGAACAAAGAGACCCAGAGGCATGGAAGCACAGAGCAGACTGTGGGTGTCAGAGGGCGGGCGGCGTGGGGGAGGTTAACCGGGACTCCTATGCACATATGCACGGCCCAGGGACACAGACAGCAGAGTGGCGAAGGCGGGGGGTGGGGGGGGTAATGGAGGAAAAGAGGGGACATCTGTGATACTTTCCACAATAAAGATGCATTTTAAATAAATAAATAAATAAAACAATATCATCTCTAAAAAATCCAGTGTGGGTGTTTTTGATCATGCAAAATATATCTTTAAAACGACTAACCCTCGATGTTATTTACAGTGACTCCCTCATCCCAATTATGTCTTTTCTTTTATTTTTAAATTATATTTGTATTGATTTCAGAGAGGAAGGGAGAGAGATAGAGAGAGATAGAAACATCCATGATGAGAGAGAATCATGGATCGGCTGCCTCCTGCACGCCCTACACTGGGGATCGAGCCCACAACCCGGGCATGTGCCCTGACTGGGAATTAACCCAGGACCCTCAGTCCACAGGCTGACGCTCTGTCCACTGAGCCACACCGGCCAGGGCCCAATCGTGTGTGTTATCATTAACCCCGAGTGTGCTGGCAGCAGAGGAGCTGAAGCGACCTCACGTGCAGTTATCACCAGTCTCAACGGAAAGGTTGGCCCAAGTCCCTGGACAGGAGTTTTGAGCCCGAACCCCCGGAGACCCTGCAGGAGGACGAGGAACTCGGAGGAGAGATTGCCCTGACGTCTGCCCATCAGCACCCGCACTTCACTCAGGGCCCGGGCGTCTTTACCTTGACACCCGAAGTAACTGCCCTTCTCCAGAGCGAAATATCCGTCGTCACACGTGTCGCAGGAATCGCCCCCGACGTGGGGCTTGCAGTGACAGTCCCCGTCGCGCTGCAGAACAAGGAGCGGATGACAATACGGGTGAAGGGGACAGAATTCACTGTGCTCAAGGCTTCAGCCCGCGAGGCCTCGTGTGTCATACGAAGCCGTGCGTCAGGATCTAAAAATGTCCAAAAAGGTCCGGCCGGAGAGGCATCGACCTATGAACCAGGAGGTCACAGTTTGATTCCCGGTCAGGGCGCAGGTCTGGGTTGTGGGCTCGATCCCCAGTGTGGGGTGGACAGGAGGCAGCCGATCAGTGATTCTCTCTCATCAATGATGTTTCCATCTCTCTCTCCCTCTCTGAAATTAATAAAACTATATTTTAAAAAATAAAAACGTCCAAAAAGATGACTGCACGCAGTACAATTACAGAGGTGCTAATATGACACCCGCCCACAGAAACCCCACAAATTGCTGCTGGCGTCCCATGTAAATCGGCTCACGTTACCTGCCCACACTCTCCAATTCCGCTCACCGTCCCCGCCACGTGGCACCGGCATTCTGTGGAGACAAGACAGCGTCCTTGGGCCAAGGGGACCCACGGGCAGCCCCCAGCGCTGGGACCGCGCCATACCGGCCCCTGCACGGGGTCACTTCCCAGCATGCTTCACAGGAGTCAGCTTGCATGGCCGAACCCTAGGGCTGGACCGCTCGCCGGAATCCGAGGAACAGCCAGATCCACACCCCCACCTCCGAGGAGAAATGGCCGGTCTGTGACGGCTCCAAGACAAAGTGCAGCATCAGGGGATTATTAAATGAGTCGAGTGTCCAGGTCATTGCTGACATGGCCCTATTGTCAGCACTCTATTTAAGAATAGTCACTCCACTCAGCCACTTTCCGCTTCGTGGTTTTGAGTCCTGCCCTGGCTTTAATCTAAGCATGAAATGGAATCCCACACTGTTGCAAATGGTTAAGACTTCATTCTTCTCATTCCATGGTATATCTGCACCACAGCTTTTTACCACTTGTCTATTGATGGGCATTAGGATTGCTTCCATATCTTGGCTATTGTAAGTCACACTGCAATGGACATAGGGCACAGAAGACTCCGCACAGTCACCACAATCATGATAAAGGAGAACGAAGCTGAAGGCATCCAGCTACATGATATCAAACTATACTTCAAGGCCACAGAATTGGCATAAAAGCAGACATAGAAATCAATGAACAGAATAAAGAGCCCAAAAATAAACCACACCTCTATGGTCAATTAATATTTGATAAAGGAGGCAAGAACATACAATGGGGTAAAGACAGTCTATTCAATTAATGGTGCTGGGGAAATTGGACAGATGGATACATGCAAAAAAATACAATGAAACTAGACCAACTTATACTATATACAAGAGTAAGTTCAAAATGAACAAAAGACTTAAGTGGAAGACTCGAAACCATAAAACCCTAGAAGAAAACATAGGCAGTAAAATCTCAGATATTTCTCTTAGCAATATTTTTTTCTGACATATCTCCTCAGTTGAGAGAAACAAAAGGAAAAAAATAAATAAATGGGACTTCATCAAACTAAAAGTTTTTGCACAGCAAAGACAACCATCAACAATATGAAAAGACAACCTACTGAAGGGGAGGAGATATTCGCCAATGGTATATCTGATAAGGGGTTAATATCCAAAATGTATAAAAGTTCACTTCTAACTGAAGATGCAGGAGACTGGGGGGAGCGACACTAGAATTTTGAGCATCTTTAGGATTTCCCAGAAGAGGGCGATATTGTACCAAGGGATTTTTTTAACTGTCCAATTACAAAGTTGCAGAATTTGTAAGTACATTTTTTTGTTAACCAAGACTCAGGTCCCTAAATGTCACAGTCCCTGGTCCCTCGTGTGTCCTACAGTGTTTCTAGAATTATCTTGTTTTGATGCCTTAGTCAATGCAGGACCACAAGCCACTACAACCGCTCCAGGAAGTAGGGACCGTGCAATCTCAGTGTTACTCTTGTACAGCTTTAGGATGGAGGACTGGGTGAGCCGCTCTGAGCTGTGCTTGTCTAACAGTTTAATTAAATCCATAGCATTTTGTTTTCTTACAAGCTGTTCCTTAGATATATTTTTTTTGCCTTTTTTGTCTCCTCTTATTCTGTTTCAGCTTCTTCCTTAATGATATTCCCTATCATTGACCTATCATCGATCTATCATCAATCTATCATCTACCATCGATCTATCATCTATCTATCTATCATCTATCTCTCCATCTCCATCTCCATCTCCTTTTCTCTCCAGGCTCCCTCGCCTTCCTCTGTAAGGTCAACAGTCTTCCCGCCCTTGTGGTTCTCCTTGTTGGCTCCTGCCCACACTGCCCAGCCCCACTGCCCGCTGCCTCAGCACTTCCCACAACCCCCTTCCCCCCGGACCCTGTGGAGGTGAGCGGCCAGCCCCAGACAGCCTGGCACACAGGCCCTTCAGGCCTTCTCTGAGGCAAGCCATGCCTGCCAATGGCGGCTACAATTTCCATCCACAAAAACCCTGGTGCCCGAGGGTTCTGGTGAGCGAGGCTCTGGGTCCAGTTGGAGCCGTGGCCCTATCTTCGATGGCTCAGAATGTGAGGCTCCAAGCACCATCAGGAGCCGAGGGCCTGAGAACACCACCTTCTCTCTTGTTAAAAATACGTTTGTATTGAATTCAGAGAGGATGGGAGAGGGACAGGAACATCAATGATGAGAGAGAACCATGGATCGGCTGCCTCCTGCACGACCCACACTGGGGATGGAGCCCACAACCCGGGCCTGTGCCCTGACCAGGAATTGAACCATGACCTCCTGGTTCATAGGTCGACGCTCAGCCCCTGAGCCCCTCGGGCGGGTGAGAACCACGCCCTCCCTGGGAAGTCTGACTCGGCCTTTCGGCCTTTCACAAACACCTCTCTTCCACAGAGAGAGGGTCCCTGAAGCCTCGGTCGGAGCCACCTGCCCTGGAGGCTGCGGCACCCGGAGCACCGAGATTCCGCAGGCATCTTACGGCCACGGAGCACGCAGACTCTCCCTCGCGTCCATCGAGGATGAGCACCAACTCATGACGACTTTTCCTCCGTCTCACTCTTTCCAAACCACAGAAGCTCTGGTCCAGCCCCCGTCCCTGCCCCTCACACCTGTGCTGAGGTGTGATGACACGGTCCCCCGAGGCTGGAGCAGGCAGAACCCCAGCGAAGGCCCCGCTCAGCTGCCCACAGGGGACCTGCTGGACACCCCTGGGGGATCCAAGAGAGGCTCGGATGCCTGGGAGGGGGAGAGACTGGGCCTGGCTCAGGGCCATCTTCACCACCCAGGGAGTTTACATGCGAATCAAGAAACACACATTTAGCCTGGACAGTGTGGCTCAGTGGATAGAGCGCTGGCTTGCCGACTGAAGGGTCCCAGGTTCGATTCCAGTCAAGGGCATGTACCTTGGTTACAGGCTTGGTTGGGGTGCGTGCTGGAGGCAACCAATTGATGTTTCTCTCCCCCTCTCTTCCACTCTCTCTAAAAAGCAATGGAAAAATATCCTCAGGTGAGGATTAACAAAAATAAAAAAAATAAACACAAATTTATAACACACGGGATTTTTTAAAATTTTAGGATTAAACCCGTTTTTGAGTCCTTAGAGAATGCAAGTCTGAAACTGCAGGCATTTTCAATGGACCTGAATCGGGGAGGAAGCAGGCAGATGTGGGTCTCACGCAGCTGTGAGCCGTGAGGGTCTGTGGGGCAGCAGGCTGCTCTGTGAGTGGCAGCACAGGGCCCCCCACGGTTCTGGCGCCCCCTTACCTGAGCAGTGGGGGAAGTCAGGGGCGCCCGAGAGACACCGGTCACAGCGCCGTCCTGCGATCCCCGGGCGGCACGCGCACTGGCCTGTCACTGGGCTGCAGGGTGTCGGGTAGGAGCCGAGGGCGGAGCACTGGCAGGCTGCGGGAGAGACGCCAGTCAGACCCCAGCAGGGGCAGGACCTGGGTAACCCACGGGGTGGGGCCCGGGAGACCCAGTGCCAGTCCAGCTCCGCCTCCTGTTAGACTGGAACCTGCAATGTGGCCAAATGCCCAGAGCCTCTGCTTCCCTTCTGTGCGGGGGTAAGACCAGTGTCCGCGGGACACGACTGTTGCCAGCATTCAATCGGATCACACGTGAAGAGCTGGGCGAGGCCTGTCTGATGTGAGCGCTCAGCAAACCCTCCTGGGTTTGGTTTTTGTAGTTAATTTCACATCCTGCAAGATGGCTGGTCGTGAAGCAGAGCTTGGGAAATGCAGATTGCCCTCCACTGTGTGGGTGGGCCTCATCCAATCAGGGGACAGCATTAGGAGAAAAGATTGAGGTCCCAAAGGAAGAAGGAATTTTTCCTCCAAATCACCTTGGGACTCAAGCGGCAACATTACTGCTTCCCTGTCTCGCTGGCCGCAGGCCTGCCCTGCGGATTTTGGACTTGCCAGCCCCCACGATCATGTGAGCTAATTCCTTAAAATAACTCTCTGTATGCACACACACATACACATGCACATACACACACACACTCACATGCACACACACATGCACTCACACACACATGCATACACACATACACACACGCACTCACACGCACACACACTCACACATACACATGCATACACACATATACACACACTCACACATATACTTACACACATATACACTCACACACATACACACACACACATCCTGCTGGTTCTGTTGTTTGGGTTTTTAAGAATATATATTTTTATTGATCTCAGAGAGGAAGGGAGAGGGAGAGAGAGAGAAACATCGATGGGAGAGAGTCATGGATCACTGCCTCCTGCACGCCCCACACCGGGGATGGAGCCCACACCCAGGGCCCGTGCCCCGACTGGGGATGGAGCCCACACCCCGGGCCCGTGCCCCGACCGGGACTGGAGCCCACACCCCGGGCCCGTGCCCCGACCGGGACTGGAGCCCGCACCCCGGGCCTATGCCCCGACCGGGAATGGAGCCCGCACCCGGGCCTGTGCCCTGACCGGGAATGGAGCCCGCACCCGGGCCTGTGCCCTGACCGGGGATGGAGCCGCACCCGGGCCTGTGCCCTGACCGGGGATGGAGCCGCACCCGGGCCTGTGCCCTGACCGGGGATGGAGCCGCACCCGGGCCTGTGCCCCGACCGGGAATGGAACCGCGACCTCCTGGTTCACAGGTTGAGGCTCAGCCACTGAGCCCTGCTGGCCGGGCTGGTTGTTTTTCTTGAGAAGCTGATGAAGACGGCTCTGTCTGCTGTTTCTGCCCTGAACAGAGCAAGAGGAACCCGGCTCAGGGCAGGCAGCTCTGGCCGGAATACGCGGGCAACACCCACGCTGGCCCCAGGGCCTCAGGGGCCGGCCAGGGAGCTGGGGAGGTGCAGCTACACTCCAGAGAGGGAAACAAAGACACAGGCTTCCCGCCAGCCAGCCAGCCGCAGCCGCAGCTTAAACTGTGAGTTGCTCAACCTGGCACCTCCCCCTCGTCTCAATCCAGCGGCCACTGAAGACCGCCAAGCCCCCACCACCCCAGCGCTGGCAGCCCTGTTCTCACTCCTGGAAGCACCATGAGGCTGCACAACTATTTAATGCGCTTTGTTCTGGTCCAGGTCCTTGGACGCGTCTGCAGTGTTTTACTTCTCATCTGCTCATTGTTTCTGCTTTAGGGCATGTTTACTCCCAAAGAGGATTTAAAACCAACGATCAAACATCTAAGGTGACAGCTTGTCTGCTGGCCCCAGTGTCTCCCAGCACCAGGCACAGGCCTGGACCCAGGACAGGCCGAGGGGAACCTTGTAAACCTTGCATTTAACGACGACGTCCTCCCACCATCAGCCGATGCGCCTTCTCTTGCTGAACCTGCCGCGCTGCAGGAGCCAGGGTTGCTGTAACACCACCCCCTGTCCCTCTGAGAGTAAGCACATGACGAGGTGAACATCCTGACTGTCCCAGGGATGCCCTATGGCCCTGGTTCTGGGGTGTGTCCTTCTGTTGGAAAAGCAGGGGCGCCTCCCTCAGCAAAGCCACAGTCCGTCCCTGATACTCGCCCACCCACCTCTCGGGCTCTGGGTGGATTCAATCTACAGAGAACCCCGAGAAGCTCCTTCAACCCCCCACCTCAGGCTCCCCCAGCAGAGCTGCCTTACAAAGGGGCCAGTTCATGGCGTCACTGCACAAATTTGGCTCAGACTCCCCCCTACCCCCGCCCAGGCCTCGGGGTCCTGTTCACCCCCCAGGAGTCCCAGCCAGACCCTTCCCTCCGCCCCATCGCCATCGGCTGGAGCATCTGGCCTCTTCTCTACGCGAGTGCGTCCGACTTGTGGGACTGTGGTGACAGGTTACCCTTGGGCCGCAACGTATTTATAGGAGTTTTCTGAGAAAAGACCTGTCCCCACACCCAAAGGCCACAGCCACCTCCAACGGGGACCGTTCTGGGCCCAGGGTCAGGTCGACGTGGCTGAGGTTTGGGGGCAGCTGCACTTGGCCCACAATTCCACCCTCCAAGCCTCTTTTCTAGCAAATTGTACCAGCAAAAGGATGAGGAGGACGAGAAAAACAAAGAAAAAGGATGCCCAGCTGGCGTGGCTCAGTGGGTGAGCATCAACCTATGAACCAGGAGGTCCTGGGTTCAATTCCCAGTCAGGGCACATGCCCAGGTTGTGGGCTCGATCCCCAGTGTAGGGTGTGCAGGAGGCAGCTGACCCATGATTCTCTCTCATCATTGATGTTTCTATCTCTTTCTACTTCTTCCTTTTTCTCTGAAATCAATTTAAAAATATATATATATGTATTTTTTTTAAGGAGAGGAAGGCAGGATGAGGAGTGGGAAGGAGGTAAAGATAGGGGGACATGGGAGGAGGAAAGGCAGCGTCACCCCCGAATGACCAGGTTAGCTGAGAAAGCCCGGTTGTGTTCTGTGCTTGCCGATAAGGAGCTGGACCAGACAGCCACGCAATTAGGATTATGAACACACACAGACAGCCTCCAACACAGCCTCAGGCTAACTCACACCTATAAGCAAGTGGGGAGTCTCGAGGGAGTGGAAATTAAAGTGAGAAAGATACGCATTGCACTACGCGAAGTCTGGAATAAATTACATTAAAACAAACCACGAGTGCAGGACTGCAGTTGGCAGAACAACTTAGGGTTTCAACTCCTTTCCTGGAAGGACTCTACCATCTTAAAGCAGCAGAGAGCAACGCCCTGGGCACACGTCCCGGCTGGAACACACTGAACCACCCGATGTGGCATTTGGGGGTCCCGTTGGTTTGGTTCTGAAATTCAATAGACCCAGCAGGCGACTCCACCTCAGACAGACAATAAATTGGAAGATGGGTCGGACCTTGACGCTCGGCCCGTTCAGGTCTCAGTGCGTCTGAGCTCCAGCCCTGGCCTCAGAGCTGCCCTCCAGGGAAGAAACTGTGAAAGGTCACAAAGCACCCGTGGGGGTGGCTCCGTGGCTGGAGCTCAGGCCTAAGCACCGAAGGGTCTCGGGTTCGATTCCCGTCAGGGCACCTACCTAAGTTGCGGGTTTGATTCCCTGTCGGGTGTGAGTGGGAGGCGGCCAATGGATGTTTCTCTCTCACGTCATGTTTCTCTCTCTCCCTCCCCCTTCCTCTCCCAGGGCAGGTTCTGGACACACACCGTGGGCGGGAGGAGGTGGTGGGTGGTGGATGCTGCCCCCTTTCCGGGACGCCCTGTCTCCTCCCTCCCACCTGGCGGCTCCTCAACTCCGCTCAGAGGCCACCTTCTTGGCAGCTGCCCGCACGCAGGCGGCGCCTCCAGGCCCGGGCCTGACCTCCAGAGGAGGAGGGAGCGGAACAGAGAGGCGGCATGGCCAGGGCGAGGGCAGCCTCACATGCACATCTGGAAGTCAGGAATTTACTGATGCGGAGATCACACTGTGATTTCGTTAAAGATCTGCTCTTAGCCCTGGCCGGTGTGGCTCAGTGGATAGAGCGTAGGCCTGCGGACTGAAAGGTCCCAGGTTCCATTCCGGTCAAGGGCATGGACCTTGGTTGCGGGCGCATGCCCAGTGGGGAGTGTGCAGGAGGCAGCTGATCGATGTTTCTCTCTCATCGATGTTTCTAATTCTCTATCCCTCTCCCTTCCTCTCTGTAAAAAATCAATAAAATGTATATTTTTTAAAAATCTGCTCTTGGAAAATACAGATAAACTCAATATTTTTAAAAGCCACGGTCATTTTCATTGGTCATTTGTTCATGTAAATGTCGTTATAAATTCATAGTCATGAGTTATTATTCCAAGAACAATGTTCACATCTATTTTTAAATTATTTTTAAAATATTTTTTAATGGATTTCAGAGAGAAAGGGAGAGAGAGAAACATCAACGATGAGAGAGAATCACTGATTGGCTGCCTCCTGCACACCCCACACTGGGGATCGAGCCTACAACCCGGGCATGTGCCCTGACAGGGAATGGAACCCTGACCTCCTGGTTCATAGGTCAACGCTCACCACTGAGCCACGCCGGTCTGGCAAATTACTTACTTTAATCTCAAAAGGCTGCCACTGACTTTCCCCTTTTCTCACTGCGCTTCTGGGCAACAGTCTCTCCCTTTCACATGAGGACGATGCTGACACGGCTGACGTGTGAGTATGAAGTTCCTGTGGAATAAACGCAGGCCACATGGCTCTGCCAAAACAGCCTCTGCCTTCCCTTCGAGGAGATGAATTATGGGGGGACTGACATCCCTGGGCCTCGGCCACTCACCTTGGCAGATGGGGAACGAGTAGAAACCCTGGCGGCAGGCGGCACACCGGGGGCCCTCGACCCCCGGGCGGCACAGGCACCTCCCGTGGGCATCACAGATTTCGGGGAGCACTCCTTCGAAGTCACAGTCACAGCCTGGGGAGGAGAAGAGGCTTTGGGGGTCTCCCTCCTCCTTCCCTCTGCCAGTCCCCCCCTCCCTCAGGTTTCTGTCGGGAAAACAGATGATGAGTTATCCACGGCTTATCGACATCCTTACCCCAGAGACCACATCTTCAAGGGAAAGAAAATAAATATTCAGGCAAACTCAGAGCTGCACTAAGAAGCATCCGGGGGCGGGGGGAGCATCCGTTTGCAAAATACCTTTTAGACTCTTGTCATGTCTAATCCTGTGAGGATACTCCTCCCCTTCCCCCACCCCAAATCTGAGCTTTACACAGTAAAACTTCAATCTAATAGGTTCCCAACAGATGAGAACCTTGAGGGGGCAGCGCACGGGCCTTGTCCATGCCTGGTACACAGTAGGCGCCAGTCAGAGTGCGATGAATGGAGAACACGCTAAGTATATAAAGAACACGCTAAGTATATGAATGAAGAACAGGCTAAGTATATGAATGAAGAACAGGCTAAGTATATGAATGAAGAACAGGCTAAGTATATGAATGAAGAGCACGCTAAGTAAATGAATAAAGAACAGGCTAAGTATATTAATGAAGGACACGCTAAGTATATGAATGAAAAACATGCTGAGTATATGAATGCAGAACACGCTAAGTATATGAATGCAGAATACACTAAGTATATGAATGCAGAGCATGCTAAGTATATGAATGAAGAGCATGCTAAGTATATGAATGAAGAGCACGCTAAGTACATGAATGAAGAGCACGCTAAGTATGCGAGACTGGAGTTCTTTTCCGTAAACACCGTTTCTCAAATTCTATTCTACTGGCATCTATTCGGAGCTTCAAAACCGAGATATCAGAATTCGCAGGTCCCTCTCTTCCTCCTGATCTGGCCGATCTCCCTGGCAACAGGGACTGCCCGGCCCTGCGGCCGATGAGATGCCCAGCCTGGCAGGGACGCAGCCAGCACAGCCCACCCAGGCTGCTCCCCAACCTCAGGGGCTTACCCTCAGGCCCATCCCCACTGACCTTGAAACCTGGGCACTGCAAGGAGCTCCTAGCAAAGTGACTGGGGACTCGAACCTTTTCACAGTGTTTGCACAAACCACGGGACAGCCAGCCTTCGGGCCACGTGGGCTGCTCTGCAGAACCACCTGGGGTGTCCGTCTCCACCATAACCCCACCCCCCGCCATCTCTCTGCAGCTGTCGATCCTGCTTTTCACTGCTCTGCCTTTGAAGTTGTAGGGAAGAGTGTAATGGAGGGTGGTACCCCCCAGGAGTGGGTGTTGGACCCCCTGCCGTGTCCAACAGCAGCCCCTGAAGGTGTGTCTATTTACACTGACTTCCTAAAGTCAACCTTCAGTGGATACAACTAAGCAGTTGGACCTGGAAAACCCTAACAATATTCGAGGTCATGAAATACAGCGAAAACCCACAAAAGCTCTGATCTGCGACACTGTTCTGTCCTTCTGCTCCAACGCTCCTGTGTCTGAGACTGAGCGAGTGGGTTTTCCAGGGCAGCAGTGCCCGTGCTGGCCGCCCTCTGGGGCCTCCTGGTAAACCCGCCGCTCACTGGGGCCTCCGGGTAAACTGGCTGGCGTGGGATCCCAGACCCAGGGATTCTGCGATCACCCCAGGTCTGTGAACTGTGGCCTGGGTACCAGACCCACCGGTGTCAGTAAAAAAAGTCCTATGGGAGCACCGCCAGGTTCACGCATCGACGTACTGTCCATTGCTGCTCCTACAACAGCAGAGCTGAGTACGGCGCCGTCGCCTGCAAAGCTGGACTATTCCCTACCGGCCTCTTTACAGGAAAGCCTGCCAACGCCGAGCGGGAGCTTTTACTAACGAGAGGAAGAGACATGTATCAGAATCATCCGGAAACTTGCTCAAACCAACAGCCTGGGCTTCGCCCCTAGATTAAGATCTGGGGTGAGCCCTGGCTGGTTTGGCTCAGTGATTAGAGCATCGGCCCACGGACATTTAGTCTTGGGTTGGATTCCCGGTCAAGGGCACCTACCTCGGTTGCAAGTTTGATCCCAGCCCTGGTAGGGGCGTGTGCGGGAGGCAACCAATTGATGTTTCTCTCTCTCTCCCCCTCCTCCCCTTCCCTTCCATCTTTCTCTCCCTCTCCTTCCTTCCTCCCATCTCTGTCTCCCTCTTTCTTCCCTTCCGCTCTCTCTAAAAATCAATGAAAAAAATATCCTCGGATGAGGATTGAAGAAAAAAGAGATCGGGGGTGACACACAGGGATTTATATCTTGGAAAAGCATGGGTTCCGCAGCTCAGCCTGTGTGAGAACCACTGTTAGAAGCCATGGACACATGCATGGGCCATAAGGAGTGACATCCTCAGGGCGGGAGGGTGCGGTGCTACCCAGCCCAGCATGTCCTTGGCTGTGGAGATGTTTGTGCTTCTCTCGTTCCCTGCCAGGCTGGGCCCTAGACCGGCGTCTTTAAAATGCACGAGTGAACGGCATCTGCCCTCACTTCCCAGAGCCATCCAACTGCACTAGTTATCCTCTCCCGTGAGGCTGCCTTCCAAGGCTTCCCTGAGATTTCGTAACAGACTCTGCACTTCCCTTCAAGGTCAATTAAACTTCTTTCCCGGAGTGCCAGCCCGCTCTGCTCCGGGAGGAAAGGGGATTGAATGACAAAGGGGAGACCTGAACCACTCCTGAGACCGGACAGGAGATGCCTTGTAATCAAAGCTCAAGGCCAGTCCCATCCCAGCAATAACAACATTCGAGGAAGCACTTGCTCAGACCCACTGTGGGCCGAGACTGGGGTCGGTCCTGGGGTTAGAAACAAGTCAGGCGGAGCTGATGTCCCCAGTGACCACGTGTCTGACGGAAACATAAGACGACGCTCCACATGACACGTGGTGCCCCCTATGACCAGAGGCAGAGGGAGGGTGGAAGCAGGAAACAGCATAGGACGTGGACTGGATTGCGCTACACCTGAGCCCGGTGAGCCCTGGGTGCTGCCCAATCCTGAGACACTCCCCACGCCCGCCCCCTCCCCCACGTGCTAGGATAGCTCCTTCATCCTTCTCCCTCCTCAACCCCAAGGCCTCCTCCCACCCTCATTCTGCCTCGGGCCTGGATTCTTATTTCACAGAAGAAAAGGAACCACCAGGAGAGCTCCCATGGGACCCACCTCAAGGCACCTGCCACGCCCCCAACTTGGCGCAGGAAGTAGAGAAAGAGGAGGGAGCATCGCATTCTCATGGCCCTTACATCATTACCTTTTATGTCTCCAGCTACTGGGTCTTCTGGACTTGGAGCAGAAACAGGGAAAACAGGAATCCCTAGAAAGATAGTTTATTAAAAACTACAGAGAAGGATTAGGGAGACAGGGAAGTAGAATATTAAACTGCATGAACGAGGAAGAAGCCCTAATGTGCTGACGGGCAGCCGGGGAAGCCAAGAGGCACTGGATTTAACACGCATCTGGTCATGGAGACCAGCGGGCCAGGCGTCTGGCGTGTCTGCTAATGAACAGAAAGCGATGGTTTGCGCTCACGTAGCTAAGTCTCGGTCTGAGGAGGACGGCCTGAAACCTCAACACCTTTATTGTAAAATGGAGACGAGCTTTTCGAAAATGTTTTCTTTCAAGATTCCCCTCCCCCACTCCCAAATTTTGTTTACACCGTAGCGTTACTTCAAGATTCCTTTTTTCACTAAACAGGCAAATACAATTTCTGCTCAGCCTCTACCCACTGATTGCAAATTCTAGGTTGCTTAAGTCCTGAGGTGGTCTTGCTGTGTTCTGGCCTAAATTGGTTCCTTTAAACATAAGATGATCATATAATGTGCCCTTCCGACTAGGACACTCAACAGTGCTGGTTTAATAATCACCCCGGCCCAGCCGGTGTGGCTCAGTGGCTGAGCGTCGACCAGGAGGTCACGGTTAAATTCCTGGTCAGGGCACACGCCCAGGTTGTGGGCTCCATCCCCAGCAGGGGGCGTGCAGGAGGCAGCTGATCAATTCTCATCATTGATGTTTCTAACTCCCTCTCCCTCTCTTCTCTGAAGTCAATTTTAAAAAATATTTAGATGTCCCCTTAGATCACCGTAGGGGGTGAGGGGCCTGTGATAACGTGGCCTGTCGACGTGGGGAGAGTGGAAACACATCCTCCTGGTCCCAGGACATGACACACGGCACGTGCAAACGGCCACCTGGAAGCCAGTGGTCTCCTCCAGGTTAACGAGAACGTCCCCCATGTGGTTACTGTTACGCTGAAATTGCCAACATTTACCCTTTTGACCTGAGGAGACGGCAACGTCTACGGTACAGCCTAACACTGTGGAGGTAAATTAGACTGCACAACATATGTTTATACACTTTATGTTCCAACTTTTAGAAACACTTTCAGCCTGGCTGGAATGGCTCAGCGTCGAACTATAAACCAGGAGGTCACGGTTCAATTCCCAGTTAGGGCACATGCCCAGGTTGTAGGCTCGGTCCCTAGCAGGGGGCATGCAGGAGGCAGCTGATCAACGATTCTCTCATCATTGATGTTTCTCTCTCTCCCCCTCTCCCTTCCTCTCTGACATCAATTTTTTAAAAAATTTAGAACCACTTTCACATAAATACAATCCACCTGACCCCATTCCTGTGCCCCCTCCCTCCCTCACCCACCCACCGTGCCCTCGAGCGTGAATGCACAGCCCAGCCTGTGTGTGTGTGTGTGTGTGTGTTGGGGGCGGGGGGGAGGAGCCCTTGCGCAGGCACTTACGGGAGCAGAGTGGGAAGTTGTGGTAGCCGGGGGCGCACTCCTCGCAGTGGTCGCCGTGGAAGTTGGGCCGGCAGGCACAGCGGCCCGAGCCCGGCTCACAGCCATCCGCGTGCTCAGGGCTGCAGCTGCAAGCTGAGAGCAACCAGTTCCGAGCGTCAGTCCTTCGCGCACTGGACACGGCAAACACACCTGATACTTCTCAGCAACGTTCCCGCTCTGTCCTGGGTGCGGCCATCCTTGAGAGGGTCCGTCCTTTCCACCACATGCGTGGCTCCCACTGATGGAGCCCCAAGGGCCTCAGAGAGGAGCCTTAAGGAGCATCCACACTGGGATGCTCTCAAGATGCAGTGCCACACGGAGCCCTGCCCAGCTCGCTGTGGAGAGGGAAGCCTGGACCCTCCACCATCGGAGAGGCTGGGGGGCTGGGGCTGGAGCTCCCGGCAGGCCTGCTGGACACAGCCTCTCCGGGCCATGAGCCAGCTGTGAATGTCCACGCCGTGGTCATTTTACACGGGTGTGGTGTGGACACGTGTGTGGGATGCCTGGATGTGGGTATGTCATCTGTGGGCAGCACAGCAAGATTGTGCCCATAACCCAAGTGGTAGATTCGAGTGATGCGGCCCTGAAGGCAGTTGGTGCAGCCGACACATTGACTGGGTGAGCGTTTCCGAGGGACCCACTGGTGCCCTCCCTTGGGAGCGTCCCTCGACCCGCAGGTCCTCACCGTGGACACAAAACCCTGTCATCGCTCCGCTAGGTCCATGTCCCATGAGCATCAAGCACCTCCCGCCCCACAGCCTGGCCCCTCTGGAGGCCTTTGCTGAGTTTGTGTAGGATGCACGCGCCTGCGGACCCTTTACGCTAAGCCTGACATCCCCAGGAGGCCACTTCAGTGACAAACTAGAAAAGTGATAGAAAGTTGAGGTTCCTGCCCTAGTCAGTTTGGCTCAGTGGATAGAGCAGTGATGGCGAACCTTTTGAGCTCGGTGTGTCAGCATTTTGAAAAACCCTAACTTAACTCTGGTGCCGTGTCACACATAGAAATTTTTTATATCTGCAACCATAGTAAAACAAAGACTTATATTTTTGATATTTATTTTATATATTTAAGTGCCATTTAACAAAGAAAAATCAACCAAAAAAATGAGTTCGCGTGTCATAGGTTCGCCATCACTGGGATAGAGCATCAGCCTGTGGACGGAAGGGTCCCGAGTTCGATTCTTGGTTGCAGATTCCCCGGCCCTGGCTGGGGTGTGTGCAGGAGGCAACCAATCGATGTTTCTCTCTGTCTCTCCCTCTCCCTTCCTCTTCTCTAAAAATCAATGGAAAAATATCCTCAGCTGAGGATTAACCAAAAAAAAAAAAAAGAAGAAAGAAAAGGAAACTGAGGTTCCTGACAGAGTGTGACTGCATCCAGGATGCCCGTGTCCCTTTGCCGATGCCCACTGGGCACAAGGAAATGATGGACACGTTGCTTCGTGGGATGGTGTGGAAGAGGCGGGAAGCAGGATCACACCTGATCACGTAAGACTGTCCTGGAGCCACAGCTCAGAGCTCACTCACACTGTGGTCTTTGATGCCTTCAAATGTGAATGATGTGAAGGAGGAACTGGGACACGGTGGCAGAGACGACCTCGGGATGGGAGTCATCTTCCGCCCCCGGCAGCCCGAGAACAGAGAGGAACCGCCGGGACACACACACAGGACAGTCTGCACTCGGACCCCGATGGACGGTTCCACGGGGGGCGGGGAGGGAGGAGTAGAGGGGTCGGGCCGGGGGGGGGGGGAAGGGGCCCCGAGGCATCCTTCTGGCCGTGGAGCTAGGAGAGCCCGGGGACGCCAGACAGGTGTGAACTGCTTCCTGGACCCGCCAGGTGCTGGCTTTGTCACCTGGGCCAAAATATGCAGGCCCTTTGGTTTCCCCACATCTAAACACGAGAATCAGCCTACAATGCCCGAAATTTATTAAATAAGACACACGTGAAAGTATTTAGGCAACGCCTTGCATAGAGCAAACGCTTGATAAATCAAAGCTCTTTTAAATATTAGGTCTATTACTTAATTCTTCTAAAATTTTTACTATGTTGTCTTGATGCTGCTTCTGAAAAAAATTTAAAACTATTGGACATCATAGAAACATGACAAGGCCGGCCGGTGTGGCTCAGCGGCTGAGCATCAACTATGAACCAGGAGGTAACGGTTCAATTCCCAGTCAGGGCCCATGCCCGGGTTGTGGGCTCCATTCCCAGTAGGGGGCGTGCAGGAGGCAGCCAATCAGTGGTTCTCTCTCATCATTGATGTTTCTTTCTCTCCCTTTCTCTCTGAAATCAATAAAAACATTTTTTTAAAAAAGAAACGTGTTGAAACAAGAGGAAATAGAGGCGCTGCCATTGGCTGCAGGCCCAGAATGCGATAGCCCAATGGTTAGTGTTTTCCCAGGCACTTTCGAGGGCATTTCACTTAACCTTAGGGAATATATGATCGTTTCTATTTTTATATATAAGAAACCTGAGGCTCAGAGAGGTTATGTAACTGCCTGTGGTCACACAGGAAGGAGTGAACCCACAATATGAAGAAAGAGGGAAAGAAGGGCCTAGTGGCTGATGGGAACGGAGCCTGTGGCCTCCCGGGAGCAGCACACCCGCCCAAGAGGCACCAGGTTGAAATGCAACTTACGGATGCAGCCGTGGGGGGCCTCCACCGGCACGCCGTGGGGGCGGAAATAGCCCTTGGCGCACTGCTCGCAGTTTATGCCCGCCGTGTTGTGCTGGGAAGAAAGAGAGATTCGGAGGCAGGGCCCTGAGCAGGTCTGATCTCACACTGTTCGCCCAGAGGAATAACTATCGTGTGCACGTGCAATTTCAAAGTCACGCACATAAAACACACAACAAAAAAGGACTGATCTTGGCCTGGAGTCTCCAAGATTTACCACAGGACACGGGCTCACACTGGCTGTGGATTTTCCCTTTGGAGAGGAAATGAGAGTAAGTTCCACGAACTGGACAACCCAGCTTTCCCCCATCACAGGGACTTGCTAATGAGCCACCTGGCCTTTGAGTGAGAGAGGCCCACAATTCAAACTTTATTCAGAAGAAGGACGGACAGTAGATGACCCTTCGTTTAGCCCAAGGAGTAAACTGTCACGTGTGTTTTCATCTTCTCGGTTGGGAAGAAAGCACACACTCATCCTCTCCTCCCGCCGTCCTCATGTTACCTGTGCTTCAGTCATGGAACCGCTTCCCAAACATGTCTGTTACGTGAATGGAAAAGGTAGGCAGGAGCCTCCCACACAGAACTCGTTTTAAAGGATAATACGAGGCGGCTTTTTCTATTTCATGATTGACCCTCTTAATTGCCACAGAACCTAATTACACAACATGCGTCACCAGTTTCCAAGGACCACCCAGCACGCGCCCAGCTCAGCCCTGCCTCTCCTGCTCTCCAACTGGAACAACTGGGAGGACGCTGTTCCTTCAGTAACAAAAGGAGAGGCGACTGGGAGTCAAAAAGAACCACCAGACGCTCGGACCCACACAGAGGCTGCGCAGAAGCCCAGAGGGGAGGACAGGCCCTTTCTGTATCCTCTCCCCCGTCTCAGACGATTTTATTAACTCCGGACTTTCAGTTATTCCCACTCCTTGTCCTGTGGGCGAAACTCTGAATGCACTTCCACACGGAGGCCTAACACCACACGGGCCACTGCTCTGACTTCACACTTAGATGCGCACGCACTGGGGCAAACAAGAAACAGCTGTGGCCCACCCCCTTCCCACCCAAGGCCAGTTCACCCCTCGACTCTGTGGCTGAGAACAGACCCAGGACACGGGGCAGCCTGGGCTCCCAGTGTGTCCGTCGGAGAGGAAATGAGGAGACGTCCCCCAAAGTGTGGAGCCCGGGCTTTCCCTTCTCCCACAAAGTTCGGGCGGTGAAGCACTGGCCACAGAGAAGGTGCAGTTTTAAGACACAAAACACAGCAACAAGCGACCGAAAGACGACGACATATCGCCAGAAGATGGATGATGCTGCAGTCGGCCTCCAGGTCGCAGGTGTCGTGCGGGGCCCACACCGCACCCAGAGGTGACCTCTGGACACCCAAGGTCATGGCTGGACCAAGGCCGATGGAGACGTAAAGATCGCGGCTCCCTGGTTTCTACAGGAAGCACTGAAGAAGCCGCCTCACCCGGGGAGTGGGCACTGAATTTGCATTTACCTGACACTTAACACAATGAGAAAACTGCAGCTTTCAAGCCAAGGAGCGGGCTGGGCACAAAGGGAATCCGTGCAGGAGTTAACTGACCCCACAGACACCCCTCCTCTGGCACCTCCCAGAGAAGCTAGGAACGCTCACCCAGAAACCCGGCCCTGGTCTGACCATCCTTCCGTCCTAATCCTTTTCCGAGGTGCTTTCCATCTTCAGGTAAAACCCACCTCCCTGTCTGTCGCTCAGTCCCTGACCAACCCACACACGCTGCTGATGTCCAATCCTGAGAACTTCAAGCACATGGAGACCGCTGCTGGCCACTGCTGGCCAGCAAAGCCTGACTTCCCTTCCTACGGCCACGACCTGGCCTCTGACCTCTGACCTGTCCACCCCTGCTCATCCCCTGCCGTCCCCTCCACCTGGAACTCTCCCCCAGGCAGCCGATCAATAATTCTCTCTCATCATTTTTGTTTCTATCTCTCTCTCCCTCTCCCTTTCTCTATGAAATAAAAAACAATATATTTTAAAAAAGAACATCAATATTTTATTAAAGGGAGTCAAACACCCCCCAAAAATGTTGTGTCCCTTGCCTTCTTTCATTGCTCTCCCCGCCCCGAATTTTATTATAAAAAATAAAAGTTTTCCAGTGAACACCTATGCATGCCCTATGTAGAGATTTTACTGTATTTGTTTTATCACAGAATTATCCGTCTTCTCGTTCCCTGTCCATCCATCAGTCCATCTTACTTTATGCATTTCAAAATAAACTGCCAAGTACCTAACTTAAACAAAGGCATTTTAAATTCACGTTGGAAAAAAATGCAATGAACCTAAACAAGACTTCAATAATCTACATACAAAAGAAAAATGCTTTTGCAGGGCCATTCTGAAAAAAATAAAATTCGATCTTGATGTCTTCCTGGAACTGCAAAGTACAAAATGTAGTGTGACTGAGAGAAGGAAGAGCAGGAACGACGTGTCCTAAAGACTCACTGAGGGGCTGGCCCTTCACTGGAGAAGCATCCCACCTACTCGTCCCCCAGTGCTTCCGCGATTCTATTTCCACAGCTTAATTTCATACAAATTTATTTCCGCAATTTAATTCCATACACATTACTGAGGGCCTTGGAGTGCATCGCTTGACCAGATCCCGGGACCTCTCTTATGCATGCAACCCTCCCTATGACTTGAACAAACCTATGCCTCACCGTTTATTTGTACTTTAGTTCCCTGCAAGGACAGGCTGTGGAGTGTGGGGAGTGGGAGGTGGGGGAGAGGGTGGGTCCCTCTCGGCCCGTGTGGCCCTGGTCTGATAGAAATGGGCACCTCACGAAGAGACGATTTCTTTGATGGCGACTTTGACAAAGCATCACTCTAAAAGCACCAGGACTGAGGGACAACATAGTCCAAACTCATGGACATTAGACCCTCCTCTTGGCTAATGTCCAGTGAACCCCACTGTCCCCAGAAAAGATGAAAAGTGTTTCATACTTGGTGCCGATGGCAGACGTCATTACTCGATCCTGCTGCCCTTTCTCCCCGAGTCTAGATTCAAAACTGTCTGAACAGAGGAGCAGGGCCAGCACTGAGGTCAGCACCCTTTTCCCTCCAGCTTCAGAGCCTTCACACCATGAGCTGGAGCAGCCAGGACTTCTCCCCATTTAGGCCAAGATCACGTAAGGAACCTGATCGCTGGCGCCTGGACAAACATGCCTCAGTCCGTGTCCCCTTCCACCCCACGGGACGGCCAGCTCACGAGGACGTGGTGCAGAGTGGAGAGGTGATTCCAGAAAACAATTCCAATGCTCAGAACGGCCTTGGCATCTTTTGGGGAGCAGAGCTTAATGATGTCATTTCCTACAGTGACACCCCCACTCGACTTGCCCAGGGCCTCACCTGACAGTTGATGCAGACCCCTCCACCTGCGTAGACGCCGCGGATGTCCAGGCTTGCCTGCTGCCGCTCCACGTCCGGGTCGTAGAAGCAGTCGGTGGCGTGGCCATGGCAGTTGCAGGCTGCAAAGGGCACCCGAGGTGAATGCACACCATGGCTGTGGGAGGCTCAGTCAGCCTCACCCTATGCATGAGCCGCCCCCAGAGCACGGCTGCCTAGTGAGCTACAGCACCGCCTCCTCCGGGACCCCAGCGGCACTCTCAGTGGGAAATCTTAGGGACTTTTACACAAAGTCCAGTCTGCAACCCTAACCCTAACCCCCAACCCCCACTGCTCCCTCAATGCGCCCAGCTCTCTGCTTAGCCGCCAATCTCACCACCTTCTTCAGACCTCGGTCCTCAAAGAGTTAGGGTTCCAACCCAGTATCACATCCTAAGAAATGATGAGGATTGAAATTCAATAGTGGCTGCATCGTGTCCTAGACCAGCCGTGGGCAAACTACGGCCGGCGGGCCGGATCCGGCCCGTTTGAAATGAATAAAACTAAAAAAAAAAAAGACCGTACCCTTTTATGTAATGATGTTTACTTTGAATTTATATTAGTTCACACAAACACTCCATCCATGCTTTTGTTCCGGCCCTCTGGTCCAGTTTAAGAACCCATAGTGGCCCTCGAGTCAAAAAGTTTGCCCACCCCTGTCCTAGACTGTTAAAGAGGCCAGCTTATGTTAAAGCACTCGGCCCAATCCTTGCATTGAGTGAACGCCTAATCATAGTAAACGTTATTACTGGTGGTGTTTCTTTTTTAAAATATATTCTTATTGATTTTAGAGAGAGGAAGGGAGAGAGAGAAATATTGATGAGAGAGATACATCGATTGGCTGCCTCCTGCAGGCCCCCCACCGGGGATCAAGCCCACAACCTGGGCATGTGCCCTGACTGGGACTCGAACCAGGATCTCCTGGTTCATAAGTCAATGCTCAACCACTGAGCCATACCTGCTGGGCCATTGTTATTTCTGTTCTCACATTTATGTCTGAATTTGGAGTGGGGCCCTCACACCTCCACTCTTGTGAGTTACTCATTACACTAGAAAGACCTGTGACCCTGAGATTGGCGTGATCCCCCCCCCTTCACAAGCAGGGAAAACACAGCTCAGGTAGAGATGGGGGGTGTTGGGTGGGTCCTCAGGTAGAAATGGGGGTGTTGGGCGGGTCCTTAGGTAGAAATGGGGGTGTTAGGCAGGTCCTTAG